TGAGACCTCGTCTCTAAAAATAGCTGGGCATTGTAGTGGGTACCTGTAGTCCCAGCTACTTGGGAAGCTGAAGCAAGAGAATTGTTTTAACCTGAGGTTTAGAGGTTGCTATGAGCTATGACACCATGGCACTCGACCGAGGGCAACAAAGTGGAACTCTGTCTCTGGAGAAAAAAATAATGGACTCTTGTAGACAAGATCAACAGCTTCAGCTTCATCAGTGGATAATTTTTTGTTTGAATAGTTATGTGTTTATTTTAATATGTATCAGGAAAAATACCCAGCTAGCATATCAGACCTGGATTATCTATGGAGGTAATTTTTGCTTAGGGTAAGGTTAAATTTAGTTAAGAGTTTTCAAAAAGTGACTTGGTTTTCAAATAAATGATAAAACAATATTTAGATGGCAAAAATTGGAAATGTAGTGTTTGAGTAGAAACTCGATCTGATATTTTCTATATTACCTTGCCATTTCTCATACATGATCCGCTTAATTAGAACAAGATGTTGACCCTCTCTCATCGCTACCAATAAAATTATGATGAATAGGGTGGCGCATGTGGCTAAGTGAGTAGGGCAATGGCCCCATATACTGAGGGTGGTGGGTTTGAACCCAGCCAAACTGCAACAAAAAAATAGCCGGGTGTTGTGGTGGGCGCCTGTAGTCCCAGCTAATCAGGAGGCTGAGGCAAGAGAACCACCTAAGCCCAAGAGCTGGAGGTTGCTGTGAGCTGTCACGCCACAGCACTCTACCGAGGGCGACAAAATCAGACTCTGTCTCTAACAAAAAAAAAGAAAAAAATTATGATAAATAATTTTATCTCTTCATAGTCCACTTAAACTGTAAAAATTTTAGTACTGTCTGTAGCATAGCTTTATTAATTAAAAGCCTACCCAAAGAACAGGCTAGGGATGGCTCACATCTGTAATCTAGCACTTAAGGAGGATGAAAAGACTGCCTGAGGCCAGGAGTTTGAGACCAGCCCAAGCAAGAGAGCAAGATGCTATCTCAAAAAAAAAAAAAAAAGGAAGGAAGAAAAGAACAAGCCTAGAAATCCACCTGTTACAATCTCTATCTCACAGTAGAAAGTATTTGGGCCTAGTGGGCATCAAAACAGCAGTCAAAGTTTAATGATAGGTATTGCTTTATTTTGCAGATAATGAACAATTGGCTCGATCAGGTACAAATTGTTTAGAAAACTTAGTGATATCCAATGGAGAGAAATTCAGCCCTGATGTTTGGGATGAAACATGCAACTGTATGTTGGATATTTTCAAAACAACTATCCCACACGTGTAAGTATTAATTATTACAGTTTATTTCGTGGGTATCATAAAACTCCTGCTTGCCTTTCTCATTGAACAATTTCTTTCTCTCCCATTTCCTTAAGTTTGCTGACATGGAGACCTGTAGGAATGGAGGAAGAATCATCAGAAAAACATTTGGTAGGATTTTTGTTTTGGTTGTCTTTTCTTCCTTCTCATATCTTAGCAAAAGGTTAATAGCCTGAACAACATAGGGAGATGCTGTATCTACCAAAAATAGAAAAAATCAGTTGGGGCCAGGTGTGATGGTTCACACCTGTAATTCTAACACTCTGAGAAGCCAAAGCGGCAAGATCACTTGAGCTAAAGAGTTTGAAACCAGCCTGAGCAAGAAGAAGACTCCATCTCTACTAAAAATAGAAAAATTAGCTGGGCATCATGATCATAGTGCATGCCTGTAGTCCAGCTACCTCCCTCCGTCAGGGGAGGCTGATTGAGAAGGATTGCTTGAGCCCAGGAATTTGAGGTTGTAGTGACCTGTAATGTCGCCACTGCACCCGAGTCTGGGCAGCAGAGCAAGACTGTCTGAAAAAAAGAAAACCAGAAAAGATTAATGAGCCTATATGGTTTGTACTTTTTTTGATGGGAAGTCAGATTAAAGGTTATAATATCGAAAAGTATTACATGTTCATTAACATTTTTTACAAAGTACAGAAAGACATTAAAAAATCATCTCACCCAGTAAAAAGCACAAGTTTACACCTCTAGCTTTTTCTTTGTGTGACTGTATACCTAATAGATGTTTGAAATTAGGGATCAGTGGACACATAGTTCATTAACAACATTGTGAACATTTTTCTATATTCTTGACTATTCCTTGAGAACAGCCTTTCAGTTACTGTATGGTATTATAATTTCTTTAATTAATTCTCCCTTTCTGGACTCCCAGGTCAGTTCTAATGTCTCACTGTTACAAAAAATGCTGTGGTTTGGGCCTGGTGGCCCACACCAATAATCCTAGCACTCTGGGAGGCCAAGGCAGGTGGATTACCTGAGCTCACAGGTTCAAGACCAGCCTAAGCCAGCTAGACCTCCTCTCTAAAAGTAGCAGGGCATTGTGGTGGGTGCCTGTAGTTCTAGCTACTTGGGAGGCTGAGGCAGGAGAATCGCTTGAGCCCTTGAGGTTGCTGTGAGCTGTGACTTCACAGCACTCTACCAGGGGCAACAAAGTGAGACTCTGTCTCAAAAATAAATAAATAAATAACGATATGGCATGACTGTCCTTATTCCTTGCCCTCCTGAATAAACGGTGCTTTCTTCTACATCAGAGAAAAAGGTTTGACTTCAGATTTCCCTTTAAAATACTTTGGGTTAGGCTCAGTACCCGTAGCTCAATGTCAGGGAGCCAGTCCACATACACCAGAGCTGGCGGGTTCGAACCCAGCCCAGGCCTGCTAAACAATGACAACTACAACAAAAAAAAAGCCAGGCATTGTGGTGGGCACCTATAGTCCCAGCTACTTGAGAGGCTGAGGCAAGAGTCAACCTGTGGGTTGTGACCCACAGGAACTGTATTAAAGGTTCGTGGCATTAGGAAGGTTGAGAACCACTGATTTAAACCCAAGAGTTTGCAGTTGCTATGAGCTGTGACGCCATAGCACTCTACTGAGGATGACAGTGAGACTCTGTCTCCAAAAAAAAAAAAAACAACTTTGGTTTACATGGGAAGTTGAATTATTAACTTCTATTCCCAATTAACTCTAAGGCCATTAGGCCATTAGATTTTAAAAGGCATTTGGGGCACAGCAACTTAAAACATTATTTTAACATTTTTTGTTTTTTTAACTTTATCTTCTGCTGCGGACTTTATAAAAAACTAGTTACTATACTACCTTTTTTTTTTTTGCAACAGAGGCTTACTATGTTGCCCTCAGTAGAGTGCTATGTCATCACAGCTCACAGCAACCTTAAACTTCTGCGCTTAAGAGATTCTCTTGCCTTAGCCTCCCAAGAAACTGGGACTACAGACATCTGCCACAACACCTGGCTATTTTTCGGTTGTAGTTGTCGTTGTTTAGCAGGCCCAGGCCAGGTTTGAACCCACCAGCCCCACTGTACATAGCTGGTGCCCTAACCACTTGGCTATGGGTTCCAAGCCTACACTGCTTATTTTTTTAACTTGATCTCATTAAAAATTAGTCACATTTATTATTAAATTGTAATATCTAGAGAAATGGTCTCTGAGTTGGAATAAGAAAATGTGAAATTTTAGAGGGGAAGAAATAATTGAAATTCTTGGGTCTCCAGTGTAGCCTCTAAGAAGTGCATACTGTCTGATTTTGCTTTGAGCTGAACAAGGCACCTAAATTCAGGCTGGGACAAAGCTGTGCTAAGATAGGCACATCTCTGCTCAGGTACTGACTTAAAATGAAGGAAAGTGAGCATTAGATTTCTCTCTGATTTACATTTAGGATGTGGACCTGGACCGCCAGTCTTTAAGCAGCATAGATAAAAATGCCTCTGAGAGAGGCCAGAGCCAAATCTCTAACCCAACGGATGACAGCTGGAAGGGCCGACCATATGCAAGTAAGACCACATTTTTATTTATTTTAAGTAAGTAACACAGATTACCTGATTCAAATATTCAGAAGGCACAGAGGATAAACATGATAAGCCACCTTCTGTCCCTGGGCCTCAGCCTACCAGTTCTCTTCCTGTGGCAGCCAGTGTTGCCAGCTTCTCATATACCCTCCAGAGTCATTTTACCCAGGAGCAAGCAAATGTCTGCCCATAGACATTTATATACATAGGCATCTAGTACATGTGAATTCGTCTTTCCTTTTTACATAAATTATGGAATACTATGCATTATTCTGGTTTACTTAACATATCTTAGATCATTCAAGATCAGTGCATACGGAGCTTTTACCTTTTTAAATATAATTTGTGTATTGTCCCCGTATGTAGAAGTAACTTTATTTGCTTAATTGGCTCCCTACTAATAAATTTTTATATTTCTAATCTTTTGCTGTTAACAATAGTACTGCATTGAATAATCTGATACACATGTCACTTGTGAGTTTATAATAAGTTTCCAGAAACAGAATTGTGCGGTTATAAGTGCATTTGCTATGTTGAAAGGTATTTCCAGGCTCGGCACCTATAGCTCTACCGGCTAAGGCGCCAGCCACATACACCTAAGGTGGCGGGTTCGAATCCCCAGCCCGGACGCACCAAAACAACAATGACGGCTGCAACCAAAAAATAGCTGGGCGTCGTGGCGGGCGCCTGTGGTCCCAGCTACTTGGGAGGCGGAGGCAGGAGACTCACTTGAGCCCAGGAGTTGGAGGTTGCTGTGAGCTGTAATGCCACGGCACTCTACCCAGGGGGACAGCTTGAGGCTCTGTCTCAAAAAACAAAAAAAGGTATTTCCAGATTGCTGTCTGGTAAGACTGTGCCTGTTCACAGCATCTTTGGGATCATGTAGGTGAAATTAATTTGGTGATTTTGGGGTAATTTTCATTTAGAATTTTCTAATTGTGAGTTAAATTGAACAGTTTTTCATATGTTTGAGAGCACTTTCTTCTATGAACTCTGTGTTCATAATCTTTTCTCATTTGATGCTGGGTTCATCTTTTTCATACTGGTTTGGAGGAGCTCCTTAGGTACTAGAAATCCTTTTTCTGGACATAAGTTTCAGATCACCTTTATCAACTGGTCTCTTAATGTTGCTTATAGTGTGTTTTATTATCTAGCATTTCAAAGCAGACTTAACAGTGGTAATATGCAGGTGTGGTGCTGTGTGTTTCCTGTATGTGACCTCACTTATTCCTTACACTAGCCCTTTTAGAAGTATTTTACATTTCCAGGTAAACTGGGGCTTAAACAGATGATAGAGCTTTCCAAGCTGTAGCAGAGTTAGGATTCAGACATGCTTTTGGCAGGCTAAGGAATTAAAACTTTTAAAGTGTTACTCTGGTCCTTTGAAAGTTGTGTGCCCCTTTGTTCATTTATATCAGTCCCACCCCGACCTCAGCACATAAGGCTGTAAGTGTTAACACTGAAGTTAACTTCTGAAGCAGCCTGTTAGATCAAGGCAGTATGTGGTCACCATTTTCTTTAGAAGGAATAAAAATAGTCACCCTCGAAATCCATTAAAAAGGCACCATGGTGGGACTGACATGCTGTCTCTCAGTAACTGCTGAACAGCCAGTTTTTCTCCAGTGTCCAGGGACAGAATCATCTCTTTTTCTTCACCAGCTTCAGATAAAGTGGTTAGCTTAGGTGAGGAGGCCAAGTGTATATTTCTTTCAATAGGAGAAGCACTCTCAGCACAGCAAGGTGTCTGCTCCCTGAGAAGTGCCTGGGATTCATCACATCCTCCTGCTCCTCCAGGGAATACCGCCCTTGCTCCTCCCAGTCTCCCAGCTCAGCTTCCTTTCTTCTGGGCTTAAGTGCAGGCAGGCAGAGTCTTTGCAGTATTAGCATTGTTTCCTTTCCTCTTTTTTTATTTTCAGTGCAAAATGCTATAACCAAGTTGGTGTAAGTTGAATATACATCTGCAACTCCACTGTATTTTTTAAAAAATTAAAACATTCTGGGGTTGCGCCTATGGCTCAGTGGGTAAGATGCCAGCCCTATATACCGAGGGTGGTGGGTTCAAACCTGGCCTTCCAGCCAAATTGCATCAAAAAAATAGCTGGGCATTGTGGCGGACGCCTGTAGTCTCAGCTCCTCAGAAGGCTGAGTCAAGAGAATTGCCTAAGCCCAGGAGTTGGAGTTTGCTGTGAGCTGTGTGATGCCACAGCACTCCACCAAGGACGATAAAGTGAAACTCTGTCTCTACAAAAAATAAAAATAAATTAAAACATTCTGGCTGTGCACATAGTGGCTCACACTTGTAATCCTAGCAATCTAGGAGGACAAGTTGGGTGGATTGCCTGAGCTCAGGAGTTGCAGACCAGCCTGAGCAAGAGGCAGACCTCATCTCTACTAAAAGTAGAAAAACTAGCCGGGCGAGGTGATAGGTACCTATAGTCCCAGCTACTCAGGTGGCTGACTCAGGATTTCTTGAGCCCAGGAGTTTGAGGCTCCTGCCAGCCATGATGCCATGGCACTCTACCCCAGGTGACATGGTGAGAGTCTGTCTCAAAAAAAAAAAAAAATTTGCATAGAAAGTTATTTATGTTAATTTCACAAACACTGAAAAACTTGAAGACAACTCAGCCTCCTTGATTTCTGTAACTAAAACCTTTATTTATTGTTGACAGCATTCTGTTTCAGTGATAGTATGTTGGGAAAGGGGTCTCAACTTTTGCTACAGTCAAATTAATCAATACTAAGTGCTTGACATGGTCCACTCCTGTGCCACTAGGGACACAAAGATAGATGGAGTGAGAGTCTGGTAAGGAGCAGAAACCACATTGCTAATTTGAACAGGAAAAATTCCGTGTAAAGAATTGTTAACTGCTTCTCTTCTCCTCCTTGCTCTCTCCTCCCCTCTCTCCTCTTTTTCTCTCCTCTTTTCTCTCCCCTTTTCTCTTCTCTCCTCCCTCCTCTTTGGTGCTGCTCTGCAGCATCCCTCCCTTGCCAATAAAGACCTTTCATACAAAAAAAAAAAAAAAAAAAGAATTGTTAACTATGGCCAAGTGCAATGGCTCACTTCTCACTTCTGTAATTCTAGCACTCTGATCTGGGAGGCCAAGGTGGGTCGATTGCTTGAGCTCACAAGTTCGAGACCACCCTGAGCAAAAGAGCAAGATCCTGAATCTACTAAAAATAGAAAAACTGAAGCAAGAGGATTGCTTGAGCCCAAGAGTTGGAGGTTGCTGTGAACTATGACACCATAGCACTCTACCCAGGCCAACAGCTTGAGACTCTGTTTCAAAAAAAGAAAAAAGGATGTTAACTTGTCAAAGGTTACTAACTATTAAAGGAGTAAAAGACTAGCCTGAGTCAGAGTTGAATCTCCATCCCTTAAAAAAAAAAAAAATACAGCCAGCACCTATAGTGCCAGCTACTTAGGAGGCTGAGGCAGGAGAATCACTTGAGCCCAAGAGTTTGAGGTTGCTGTGAGCTGTGACGCCACAGCACTCTACCTAGGGTGACAAAGTGAGACTCTGTCTCCAAAAAGAAAAAGAATAAGATTGCTCTTAAGGGATACAGAAGTAGAAATGCAGAAAGCAGCTGCTCCCTGTAGTGTAGACAGAAAACAAAGAACTTAAAAAGCTACATGTGTGCCAACCCTACACTGAGATTCTGGTCAGGGAGCCTGGGTGCTGCAGGAGCTCGAACCTTCCTGTGGTTAGGGCTCAGACCAGAGCTAATCTGTAGGAAGGGCCTTCTGGTAGCAGAGAAACTTTCTGGTGGACACACAACCTGCATACCTGATCCTTCCCCCCTCTTTAGGTCCTCACTAAAATACTACATTATCATAGAGACCTTTCTTGACCAGTTTATTTAAACCTGCAATGCCGTCATGACATTTCCTATCCTTGTGTCTCTACCTTGTGTCATCATTATTTGGCATGCTGTATCTTATAGTTAAATACTATATTTAATTGTGTGTCAGCACCATTGGAGCAGGAATTTTTTTTTTTGGTCTGGTTTATTCATTGCTATGCTACAGCATCAAGAATCATGCCTGGCACATAGTAGGATCTCAGGGAATATTTACACAGTGTTGGCTGAATCATTATTAGGGTTAATCTTTATCATCTAATATAGATCAGAAACTGTTTGCCAGCCTCCTCATCAAGTGTGTGGTCCAGCTGGAATTGATACAGACCATTGACAACATCGTGTTCTACCCTGCCACGAGCAAAAAGGAGGACGCAGAGCACATGGTTGCTGCGCAGGTAAGAACAGCCGGCCAAGGAAGGGCCTTGTCCGTCAGGAGGTGCTCTGTGCGGTAGGGCGATGCTGAATCATCATCATCATCATCATCATCCCCTTTATGGCTGAATAATATTCCCTTATGTGGATATACCACATTTGCTTATTCATCCATCAGCTGACAAACATTTGTGCTATTTCCACTGTCTGGCTATTAGGAATAACGCTGCCATGAACATTGTTGTGGACCTGTGTCTCTCAGATATATACACGTAGGAGTAGAATTTCAGCATCGTGTGGTAACACTAGGTAACACTCTTTGAAAAACTACCAGAATATATTCCACAGTGGATGCACCATTGTTTATTCCCATTAGCTATGTACGAAGCCTCCAGTTTTCTTCACATCCTCCCCAGTGGTTCTCATTGCCCCTTCTAAAAATTATTATTGTAGCCATTCTTGTGGATGTAAAGTGTATCTCATTGTGGCTTTAATTTGCATTTCCCTGATGACTGATGATGTCGAGCATCTTTTCTGCTTCTTGGTCATTTGTATGTATTTGGAAATGTCTACTCATATCCTTTGCCCATTTCTAAATTGTGTTACTTACCTTTTTATTGTTGACTGAAAAGAGTTCCTATGTATTCTAGATGTACTAATCCCTTATCAGATATATGATTTGCAACTCTTTTCTCACATTCTGTGTTTTCTTTTTAGTTTCTTGATAGTGTCCTTTGCAGCAGAAAAGTTTTTAATTTTGATGAAGTCCACATTGCCCAGTTTTCTTTAGTCATTTGTGTGTTCGGTATCAAATGCATTGCCTAATTCAAAGTCACAAAGACTTAGGTCTTAATTCTTTGTACCGTAAAATTAACCTGAAACAGTCAATTTAGGCCTTTGTTTTCTTTGAAGAGTTTCATAATTTTAGCTCTTACGTTTTAGTCTTCAATCCATTTTTTATTTTATTCTTTCATACAGGAGGAGGTAGGGGTCAGACTCCTTTCTTTTGCATGTGATACCCAGTTCTCGCACCATTTGTCCTGAAGTCCATTTCTTCTCCAATGAGTCTCCCTGACACTAGTGTTAGAAACAACTTCACCGCAAATATAAGGGTTTATTTCTGGGCTGTCTCTTGTATCGATATATGCCTGTGTTTATGACAGTACCACACTGTCCTGATCATTGGAGCGTTAGTAGGTTTTGAAGTTGGGAAGTCCTCTAACTTGATGCCTCTCATGCAAAATTGTTTTGGCTGTTCTTTATCACTTGCATTTCCATATGAATTTTAGGATCAGCTGGGGGTCTGGTAAGGATTGTGTTGAATCTATAGGTCAGTTTGGGTGATGTTGCACATTCTTCCCTTTTTAAATTTCTGTATTATAAGGAAAATGGGTCTATTTCTAGAAGTCTCAAAAAATAAAAAATCTCTAATTATGTCTCAGATTTTAGGCAACATGTTTAGTAAAATGTTCTAGCATTTCATACATGTTTTGAAGTGGTTTTTGTTTCTTTCACATTTAAAAACATAATCATTGACCTTATTTAAGTGCAGTGATTACCTGATTGGGGGCTAAAGATGCCACGTGGACTTTGCTTACCAATTTTTTTTTTTTTTGAGGCAGAGCCTCCAGCTGTCCCCCTGGGTAGAGTGCCATGGCATCACAGCTCACAGCAACCTTCAACTCCTGGGCTCAAGCGAGTCTCCTGCCTCAGCCTCCCAAGTAGCTGGGACCACAGGCGCCCACCACAACACCCAGCTATTTTTTTGGTTGCAGCCATCATTGTTGTTTGGCGGCCTGGGCCGGATTCAAACCCGCCACCTTAGGTGTATGTGGCTGGCACCTTAGCCACTTGAGCCATAGGTGCTGAGCCTGCTTACCAATTTTTAATCTTTCAGTGAGTATGTTTCAGACCCACATCTTTTATCACTTTTATCATTTTGAGTTTGTCATTTTTTAAATTTCTTTATAAAATAGAATACAATCCTACTGTGTAATAATTGGAGAAACACACACACTCCTGTTTATGCAGTGGAGGCAGCACTGATGAGTAAGTTTTGGCCAGCCAAGCCTGCCCTCCAGCAGCAGACCAGCATAGCCAGTGAACAGGGTCTCAGGGGAAATAGTCCATGGTGTTGAGAAATGAAGTATACCTTGTACAGAGGATGGCTTTTAGAACATCATGCCTGCCTTGGCTATGATCACAATGCCCAAAACCACTCCATCTTCTTTACTTAGCTCTCCTCTGTCCTCTAGCAAGACACACTGGATGCAGACATTCACATAGAGACGGAGGACCAGGGCATGTATAAGTACATGTCCTCCCAGCACCTCTTCAAGCTCTTGGACTGCTTGCAGGAGTCCCATTCATTCTCAAAAGCCTTCAACTCCAATTATGAGCAGCGGACTGTCCTCTGGCGGGCAGGTAAGGCTACCATACTGGTCACATCCTACAATATACGTGAAAGCCTTTGTAAAATTCCTCAGATTTTAAGCAAAGCTGCAATAATTTATCAGATACTTTCATGCTTGAGGGAGAAAGAAGAGAAATGGTACATAGATTTTATCCCAGGATTAGGGATACTACCTGGCACATAGTAGATTCTCATTAAGAATTTGCAAGGGCCATTTGCTGTGGCTCACACCTCTAATCGTAGCACTCGGGGAGAGTGAGGTAGGTGGAATGCCTAAGCTCAGGAGTTCGAGGTCAGCCTGAGCAAGCCAGGCATTGGGATGGGCGCCTGTAGTCCCAGCTACTTGGGAAGCTAAGGCAAGGGGATTGCTTGAGCCCAAGAGTTGGAGGTTGTTATAAGCTGTGACATCATAGCACTCAACCCCAGGGTAATAGAGTGAGATTTTGTCTCAAAAAACAAAAAAAAGAGGGCGGCGCCTGTGGCTCAGAGGAGTAGGGCACTGAACCCATATGCCGGAGGTGGTGTGTTCAAGCCCCGGTCTGGCCAAAAAAATAAATAAATAAATAAAAGAATTTGAAAAAGGCAGATTTAAAGTTAGATAATTGAGAGAACTGCTTGAGCCCAAGCGTTTGAGATTGATGTGAACTATACACCACGGCACTCTACCGAAGGTGACAAGTGACACTCTGTCTCAAAAAATAAAATAAGTAAATAAATAAGGGCAGTGCCTATGGCTCAAAGGAGTAGGGCGCTGGCCCCATATGCCAAAGGTGGTGGGTTCAAACCCAGCCCCAGCCAAAAACTGCAAAAAATAAAGTTAGATAATTGAGTAATTGATCTAGTGAGCGATGATATTTTACATTAAATTTGAAGTTAAATATTATCAAAACTTTGACAGTTTAGGAGAAACAGAAAGCATTCGTGAATGTTCTCAGGTTTTTAGAGGATCTCTTACCCTCTAAAGTATAAAGGTAAGTATATTATATTTTTTCAGGGGTGGTGGTAGGATTCTCACTATTATTTTTCTATTGTTACCATTACTTAAATTTTCTCCCCAAATTGCTTTTTAACCCACAATTAAGGAATATCATTTTTTTTCTATGGTTTTAAAATATCCAGATAATTTTGCTTACAAGAGTGGTTTGCGTATCTCTTTATCTGATTGGTACAGCTTTGCTTTAAGAACATGTATACTTACATGTGCTTTATAGAGAAAAGATCTTGCAACTTAGAAAAATGCTAGATAGTCCTTCAGTGCAACTGGGAAATAAAAATACTAGCATTCTTTTTTTTTTTTTTTTTTTTTTTGCAGTTTTTGGCCAGGGCGCCACCTCCGGCATATGGGGTCGGTGCCCTACTCCTTTGAGCCACAGGAGTCGCCCAAAAAATACTAGAATTCTTAAGAATTCTTAAGAGCTATTACTTTTTCTCTGGAGGCAGAGCCTCAAGCTGTTGTCCTGGGTAGAGCTCTGTGGCATCATAGCTCATAGTAACCTCCAACTCTTAGGCTTAAGCAATTCTCTTGCCTGAGCCTCCCAAGTACCTGGGACTACAGATGTCCACCACAAGGCCTAGCTATTATTTTGGTTATAGTTGTCATTGTTGTTTGGCAGGCCTGGGCTGGATTCAAACCCGCCAGCTCTGATATATGTGGCTGACGACCTACCTGCTTGAGCTGCAGGCGCCATGCTGAGAGCTATTACATTTGAGGAGATGAAAGTAACAGCTTTCTGCTCGGCGCCTGTGGCTCAATTGGCTAAGGCGCCAGCCACATACATCTAAGGTGGCAGGTTCGAATCCCAAGCCCGGGCCTGCCAAACAACAATGATGGCTGCAACCAAAAAATGGCCGGCGCTGTGGTGGGCACCTATAGTCCCAGCTACGTGGGAGGCTGAGGCAGGAGACTCGCTTGAGCCCAGGAGTTGGAGGTTGCTGTGAGCTGTGAGGCCATGGCACTCCCCCCAGGGGGATAGTTTGAGGCTCCATCTCAAAAAAAAAAAAAAAAAAAAGAAAGTAACAGCTTTCACCAGCTTATGAGCAAAGTCTAAATAGAGAACAGCTCAGTTCATCTCTGAGGAAAGAGAGTGTCTTATATAGAGGATAACTTTTGGAGAGTCATGACTGCCTTTGTCTGATGTTGCAATAGAGTTTAATTAAGAACAGGAGATATTTCAATATTTTCTAAAGTAACTAGAGAACTAGTTCTCACACAGTTTCTCAGCATTATCCTAGAAATGTGCTCTATTGATATTACTATGTGATCTATAGGCTTTAAAGGCAAATCTAAACCCAATCTTCTAAAACAAGAAACTAGCAGCCTGGCCTGTTGTTTGAGGATTCTGTTTCGAATGTATGTCGATGAGAACCGCAGGGATTCCTGGGAGGAAATACAGCGGCGACTTCTAACGTAAGTTTGAAGATTTCATGTCTGTCATATAAAAGATGTTTCACAATACTGTGAAAAGTAGAAAAATGCCTACATGCTGACACCCCAGACATTTTCCTTTTCATTTTTTTCCTTTTATTTGGTGGTTCTTCCATTTCACTTTTCTTAATGCCTGGAAGAGGGCAGGACCTCCTCTGTTTCACTCATAAACCCTCCTTAAGGCACAGAAATGTGAGCAGCGACAAGTGGTCTGACCTAAAGTTGGCAGACTGGAGGGAAGTCTTGACCCTGGTTAAAGACCTGAGGTCACTGTTCCTCTTGGAACTAGGTCCTGTTTAGAGTTATTGTTAGGTCCCTCATTCCTCCTTCCAAGAAAAGTGTATTAGAGTCACGTAGATAACAGAACATACCCGTGTCAGTTATGCAGACATGCACCAGTGGGGAGATAGTGGGACCCCAGAGAGAAAGCCTCATGCACCTTCCTGGGCATCCTGCACTATGCTGCTGTCTGAGCTTCCTTTTAACTCCTTCCAGATTTAAAAACAGTGTCACACAGTGCAGGCAGCTGGGCGATAAGACACACACTTGCCTGCACAGCTAATTGGAGTGTACAGTGACATAAGGAGGTTGGATTATACTAGTGTTTGTTTCCTTTGACTCTGTAATTCCATTGTTATGGAATCTACCTCAGGAAATATTTTAGAAATAGGAACCAGGATTCCCACCCAGAATATTCATTGCAGACTTATGAAGAGAAAAAATTATAAACAGCTCAACTGTGGAGTGGATTACTAAATTATGGTATGTCCTGAATTTTGGCATATAAGATTGAATGTGGCTCGGCGCCTATAGCTCAACCA